ATACGACGACATGGACCTGCACAGACAATTTTATGCCTTAGACTGTAGTATCCATGGTACAATGATATCAAGGTAGGGCTATGATACCATATGATTTTAATTTTTTTGTTTTCTTGGCTTAATATGTCATTTTTATTTGTTTATGTATGTGTTTTCTTTTCAATAACAAAAAAAATTGTTCAGAAAACTTCAAATTCGGGTGTTTTCAAAATGTTTATTTCAACGTATGCATCGACAAAATCTAGAGTTTTTGTAACGAAATAATCCTTTAGAGATATATAGTACATGATTCTGAAAAGAAGTGTTGACCTTTCATTCAGTTATCGCGGTTTTCAATTATTTATTCAAAATAAATGCAACAAGTTGTTTGATTTTTTATTGTTTTTATACTAATTCTGACATTACAAGCCGAAGAGGTAGACCTCTATACTTGCAATTTTTTTAAAGTTGACCTACCTTCTCTTCATTGTACCATGGTAGTATCCTTTAGGAACTTCAAATGCTAAATTTGAAACAATTCCGGTGAATAATGTCGCTAAAATCATCAAAATACCGAATATCGTGAGGTGCCATTATATGGTGGCTATAGGAAAACGAGGTCCTGCAAAGACAATTTTCTGTCAAAGGCTGTATTCATTGTACGAATTCATTACGAATACCCAATTTGAAAGAATCCCGGTAAATAAAGTCGCTAAAATCATCAACATACAGAATATCGAGTGGTACCGTTGTATGGGCCTATACAAAGAAGTGGACCTGCACAGACAATCTCCTGTCATAGGCTGTAGCATCCATTTCGAAGTTCAAATACCAAATTTAAAACAATTCCGATGAATAATGTCATCATCAAAATACCGAATATCGGGAGGTGCCGTTGTATGGGGGCTATACGAAGACGTGGACCTGTACAGACAATTTTTTGTCTTAGGCTGTAGTATCCATTTCGAACTGCAAATACCAAATTTTAAACAATTCCGGTGAATAATGTTGCTAAAAGCATCAAAATACCGAATATTGGGAAGTACCGTTATATGGGGGCTATACCAAAACATGGCCCATTTTCAATACCAAAAGTCCTGCAGACATAATATACATTTGAGTAAAATTTTATCAACCTTGCTTCATTTTTTTCGGAAGCTAGTGTGATTTCCACAGACGGACAGATTGATAGACGGATAGACAGACGGACGGACATCGACATGCTGATCAATAGTATATATACTTTGTGGGGTCTAAAATGTATATTTCGCGGTGTTACAATCGGAATGACAAACTTAATATACCCTCCAAACTATGGTGGAGGGTATAAAAATGTGTTATTGTTTAAAATAAGAACCAGTAAAGGAAGTATAAACGTCGGGCGGGCCGACTTTATGATACTTCATATAAAAAATAAAACATATAACAAATCGGATGAACAATACATAAAGAAGCAATAGCCGAACCGATTTTCACCAAATTTGACATACTTATGTATAGGCTCAATTTGGTCGTAATTTCAAAATTCCATCCCATTTGAGCTCATATTACACGTTTGGTGCACAATAAAAAGCCAATAGGACGAAGATATTTATGGGATCTATACCCAAATCTAAACCCTATAAAATTTGGGAAAGGTATTTCTGCGCTATATTTAACATATTTACCTAAATATCGTTGTTACACAGTGCATATTAAGGGTGCGGAGGACTAAAATAACAAATTGTATGAGCAATATATATTGGAGCTATAGCTATATCTGAATCAATTCCGATCAAATTTGGCATACTTAGTTTCAGGCATAATTAGGTTGTATGTGCAAAATTCCATACTATATCGGGCAAATCGGACGAAGACATATATGGGAGCTATATCTAATTTTTTACCGATTATCTCCAATTTCAATAGAGTTCGTCCGGGTAATAAATGCGAAATGTACTTTGTTCACACAAATACATGGACAGACGGACGGACATGCATAATTCTACTCAAGATGTGATTCTATTCAGATCATCAAAAGGAACTATGGGTCTATTTCGTTTCCTTTTTCCTGACATAATACCCCGACCACCTTGTGCTGTAGGGTATAAAAACAAGTACAAAGGCCTTTAAATTCAGCCGGGTCGAACTTTTTATACCTTCCACAAGAGTAGAATATGTTAACTTAGAATATCAAGCCATTTGATTTAAAATCACAAAATAACCCAAAAAGCGGACACCAAATTATCTAATTTGGTTGGAAATTGTGGCTGAGACCTACAAAATCTGGAGGTATTATTATATATGCGCTATGCCTATTAATAGACATGATTCGAACATTTTTTGCAAAGAGAAAAGTAACCTACGTTGTGACAGAAACCTTCAAAATGGCAAAAACCAGGAGGTACCATTATATGGTAGGTGGACCTGTAGAAAATATTTTTGCAGGACCAACCAAGAACCCCAAATGTAAAGATTCAGCTTAATTGATTTTATACCAAAAATCTGGAGGTACCGTTATATGGGGGCTATACCTGAACGTGGACCCATATAGTCCATTTTCAACACCAATCAGCCTGCATATAATAGAAACCTTTAAGAAAAATTTCAAAGTTCTAGATTAAATATTGTTGGAGCACTCCTGCACTTAAATGTGAATAAATCTTTTGTGTCTCGTACCATCGTTCGTTACCGTGATACTGGTAGCGTAGCCCGACGTCAAGGAAGTGGACGGAAGAAAACAGCAACATCAGCAGCAATGGTTTGAAAAGTAAAGAAGCGACTTGATCGAAACCTACATTTTGGCCGCAGACCTTGGACATTCCAGCAGGACTCAGCACAATCGCACTCACACACGCCACTCAAGAATGGTTACAAAATGAGGTTCCCCGCTTTATTTCCGTTGGACTATTGTGTCTGGAGTATTTTAGAAAGCAAGGTTGGCACTTAAAAATACCAAAGTTTCGATCACCTCAAGCAACCGCATCGCCGGGAATGGACCAAAATACCACAGAGCAACATTCGGGCAATGTGTGACGGTTTCATTGGTCGTTTGAAGGCCATAATTCGTGCCAAAGATGACCAATTCGAACAAATCTAAACTTCTTCTAAAATTTGATGCTATTTTCGACATTTTTTTCTTTCATTCAATAAAATTAAAAAAATGTAAAAATGATCGCGTTTGAGTTTTGCAGTTTTTTATCTCACTCTGCAATTAGAGTCGGTCTTTGTTTGAATATAGGAACTTGAAAGTGATAGAAAAAACGCGATTCCAGATGAGTTCATTTTAAATACATAAATGGGAAGAGTTCATTTTGGCTCCAACAACTGGTTACAAAACAACATCTTAACACCCTTCATTTTTTTTATTTTGTAAATTTCTTGGTCCTATGAAAAATGGTACTATTACAAGTGTTTAATTTTTTATGGAACATAATAAAATTCCATTTACATTCCATTTTTGATTCTTTTTTGTGATTTGGTTTTTGTCATGTCTAAAAAAGTGTAAAGTGACAAATTTGTTGTAAGAACAAAAATATGCTAAACATTTGCAGAGATAATCTCTTGTGGAGTTTTTTCTTTTATTTTATCTTTGACATTTACACATGTCTGACATTGAAATGCAAGATGCCCACATATGTTTGCACATACATATTTTCAATTTCACAAATATTTTCAATTGTCAAAAAAGAACAAATAAGGAGAATGTCCAGAAAATATTTTTCATATATCTAAAGAAATTTCTACATTTAGAGTGCATCAAAAGGTTGAAAGTGAAGACATATTTATATGAGAGACATATAAGCGGAGGCGTACAAATATAGGACATATTTCCAAATCACCGACAAATCGCAAACACTTATACCATCAGCAATCTAAACAACAAATATCAGAATTTTATCTTTATCCCTTCATCCAACACCAAATATAGTACCGTTCAGAATACATTTCCGACTATATACATTTCCGAACCCACCTCCAGATGTTAAGGCTACACATGAACAGGGACTCTAATATAATATTTCGTGCACTTGTAGCACACATTTCTCAAACCCCATCTTTATTACGAACATACTGCCTACAGGGACCCCAATACAAAATTCCAAATTTCAGCTTAATTCGTTCACATTTAACCAAACTATCCCAAATTTAGTTCCATTTAGTACACATTTCGAAAACCACCTTTATATATCAAACTTTCTTTCCAACCTTAATGTGGCGTTTCCACTGCACATTTTAAAAAACCTAATCTCGAAGAACTATAATATAAAAAACTCTACTTCTTTAAAACAAAACATAAAAAATATTCAACTTGACAACACAGACATTCTAGTCTCATTTGATGTAGTGTCACTTTTCACAAATATTCCTGTCCACATCGCAATAAAAATCATAATGGAAAAATGGGATGAAATAAGAAAATATACAAAAATACCAAAATCACGGTTTCTTCAAATTTTACAATTTTGCCTCCAAGGCAACAACTATTTCATGTTCGACGATAAAATATATAACCAAGTATTTGGAATGCCAATGGGAAATCCACTATCACCGACAATAGCGGACATAGTCTTAGACAAACTACTTGACGACACACTAGCTGAGCTACAAAGTAAGGACATAAATATCAAATACATAGTCAAATATGTAGATGATATTTTAGCAATTATTAAAAGGACGAATCAGATGAAATTCTAAACACATTGAACAAATACCACAACAAAATACAATTTACCACGGAAACTGAAACAGAAGGCTCAATATCATACTTAGATGCAAGATTAATAAGAAATAACCAAAACATAGAATTCGAATGGTACACAAAAGACACATCATCTGGTAGAATAATTAATTATCATGCAACACAGCCGAAAACACAAATCCTTAATACTGCCAAAAATCTCATACATAGAATATTTAACATTAGTGACGCAAAATTCCATAATAAGAACACTGACACAATTTTTAAAATTCTAAAATACAATAGTTTTCCATATAAAGTAATATGCACATTAATTGACGAAATTAAAACAAAACTACAGAGAGATGTCAAAACACCGGCGGATAATGAAAAGACAGAACTAAAAAGTTTTTACGGTGTAACTTACATCCCTGGGTTATTTGACAACAAACAGCTGCGACAAATCATTAACAACAACAACATTAACTTTGCATATAAATCCAATACAACGTTAAGCACAATATTTACAAACACAAAAACACCTATTGACAAACAACAACAGAACAACGTTGTTTATAAAATTCCATGTAAAGGCAAAGCGAATGAAAGCTGTAACAAAATATACATTGGAACAACAAAGCGATCACTAAGCACACGAATGAGCGAACACAAATCGGACATAGAAAAACAAAAGGAGACAACAGCGCTATCACAACATGCCTTTCACACTGGCCACTCACCAGACTTTGATAGCATAGAAATATTAGACAAAGAGAAAATAGAAAAGAAAAGACTAATGATTGAGAGCCTTAGAATACAACAACATATTGACAAGACGATGAACCTAAAAGAAGATACTGACAACATAAGTTCGTGCTATGGAGTGGCAATAAAGTAAAAAACTGTGATACTAATTTTTAAGTGGATTATTTTAGTATATGTTCTATGTAAACTCGTCTTAAAAATTATATTGTAAGTTTATCCCATCTTGTGAATTGATATGAAATTGAAATGTTAAATTTTGATTTATTTAAATAGACGAATTCCCCAGAAGAAGTCGCCAAAACAGCGACGAAACGTCGGGAATAAAATACAAAATAAAATAATTTTGTTTTAATTTGTATATGAAACCTAAGGTCAAGAAGCTAAAACACACAAACCATAGAAATAATCATTGACCAAAAATTAACAACAATAAAAAAAAAGTACATCTTGTTTTCTCTCTCATTCGAGGTACGCATTTTGTCCACGAGTTGAAATTTCCACAGAAAACTGCAAACAAAAGAGGCAACATTTTCAAAATGCTTGAATCGGCAGAAAAAATTTTTGACAAGTGTCTCTCCAGCAGAATTTAAAAATAGAAAAATACAAAAACATGTTCGAAATGTCAACATTTACACAAAAAGTTGAATCTTGAATTAAATTTGTGAAATTAATAAATAATAAATTTTTGGGAGAAGAACAATAATATCTTCTATTCATATTAGTGAGAATTTCATGTATTTTCGTATAAGTCGTATTCAAATCAACAAACAAAATTTTTGAAAAAGGGAATTATTTTACTACGAATTACGAATCGTGCCGTATGAACGGGTTAATTCGTGTACATAATTCTGAGAGCGAACAACGTGATTGAAAGTGTAATGGGAACATAGCATAAGCATAAGTCATACAACATTTCAAGTTGTTAGCTTTACCCTTTCACATAACACCAAATGGTACCATTTTAGAAGTTTAGTAATATTTTAGAACATTTCCAAACCCTTTAGTGCATATGCCCTGCACTTCATCAGTGACTCTCATTCAAAATTTTAGCATTTCAGCTCCATCAGTTCATCACAATTGCAATTTGTACACATAAGTACGAATTTCCAAAGCTTCCTAAATACTCTAATCCTACACTCCTACAGAAATCCCAATTCTAAATTTTAGGATTCCACCCCTGTTGCTTTGCCCAACAGGTACAAATTTCCAAAATTGCCAATATATCCCATTTTTTAGGATATCAGCTCTATTGGTTCATCCAAATCCAAATCTAGTATCAAATTCAGTACAATTTAGTACGCTGAAGTACAAATTTTCATAACTATCTACATCATACAGTCCAATAAAATCTTATTTTCAAATTTCAAGATTTTAACTCTATTATTTCTCCCAAAATTTAAATTGTATAAAATTTAGTACGATTTAGAACACATAAGTACGGATTTTCTATATAACTAAGTGCTACAATGCAACAGTAATCTTATTTCCAAATTTCAAGATTCCATCTCAATTGGTTCTCGCAATAAAATTAATTGTACCATATTTAGTACATTTTGGTACATATTAGCACGAATTCCCAAACCGATCTACATACCTCAGTCCTACAATGCAATAGTAATCTTATTTCTAAATTTCAGAATTCCAGCTTTATCGGTTCACTCTAATCGAAATTGCACCAAATTTAATAGCATTTAGTACTTTTCGTACATTTTGGTACATATTAGCGCGAAGTCGAAAACTTCCTCCATATCCCAATCCTACACTCCATCAATATCCCATTTCCATCTGATCCTCCAAATTCAAATTGTACTAAATTTAGTGCCGTTTAGTACTTTTCGTATACATGAATACACACTTCCAAAACTACCTCCTTACATCGACTTTACTCCTCAACCTTGATTCCTACTCCAAATTTCAAGATTTTAGTTCTACCTGTTCACATGATACGAAACGGTAGCAAAGTAATTTTCGTACCGTTCTAGTAATATTCCCGAAGACATTATATACATAAACTGATTGGATGGCGAAGAATATTATTAGGAACAATCTTAGCTCCCTCTCTTTTGGTTACTTTTCGATGTAAACTTTCAAATCGCCGATATACATACGTGTCTTCTATTTTTAGCTCCACTTTCATAATCTGCTGGATTTCCCCCATAATTATTGAAAACAAGCAAAAAAGCAGTAAACTCGACCGGGCTGAACTTTGAATACCCTCCACCAATTGGAACGAATTTGGAAATTCTGTTAAAATCTTAAAAATACCGAATATAGCCGTCATATTGGGGTCTATACGAAGTCATAAGCCATTACAATATACAAATCAAAATAGACAATTTTCTGTTACGAATTTTAAATACGAAATTTAAAACAACTTCGGTAAATAATGTCCTTAAAATCTTCAAAATATCGAATATGGGAGGGTACCGTTGTATGTGGGCTATATCGTGGACATTTCTCTTCCAAGGGGTAAAGTGCTTAGAAAGAACTTCTAATATGGATTTTTAGATAATTCTATTGAAAAATGTACCTAAATCATCAAAATACCGAATATGGGGGATATACGATATCGTGGACCTATATGTACAATACTGTTCCAGGGGGTGAGTACTTTACCCCCTCCTTCTGTGGATTTTCAGACAATTTCATATTTGGCTACAATCATCAAAATACCCAATATCGGGGGTACCGTTAATGGGGGCTATACGATATCGTGGACGGATATAGCCCATCTTCGAACTTGACCTTCCCGCAGACAAAGTACTGATCTGTGGGAAATTGTAGCTTCCTACCCTATTCGTTTTGGTTCTAGTGTTATTACAACAGACTGACAGGCGGATGGACGGACAGAGCTAAATCGTCTTAGTATTATACGTTGATCAAAAATATATATTCTTTGTCATGTCTATATTACATTTGATGAGTTACAAACGGAATGACGAACTTAATATACCCTCTATACTATGTGCGGTGGAGGTTATAAAAATGAGTTTTGACGCACAGTGTAAACTATGTACAACTAATAACAACCCATAAATATCCCCAATGTCATAAACTTTTTTAAGCCAAAATCAAAAATTAGGCTTCCCCCTCTTTCACATAAATCAAAGCGATAAAAAGACTGGTAACAAATTTTCTCACCAAAAAAGCAAAAAAACAGCCGCACCAAAAATTGCCCACAACTTTTCTAATTTACTACCTAACGATTTATGTTTTCGAACCGGCAAAACACTTAAGGTACCAAGCAATGTTAATGCAATGCCTAAAGTGTAACAACCCATAATATTTCGACCCATAAAAATTGGCTACAAAACACGCCCATCAACTAGAGCCAAAAATGGCTTACCATTTAATTTCAGGCTCTTTAAATTCCCAACACGTTTTGGTTGTTAAATTTATACGAGAAAGCATTTAATTCGCTACGGTGGAAATTCTTTATTAAAAGATTATTGCCGACATCATATTTTAGCAGACAGAAATTGCCATGACATTGAAAAAAAAAACAGAAACGAAGAGAAAACCAAAAATGAAAAACAACAACAAATTGGGCGGGGGATTAACAAATTGTCAAGATGTTGTTTTATTTTTTGTACAAAATGTCCTGCACTTTTGTTGTTGTTAATATTATTTTTTGACTTGGTTCTTGTACTCGTTATTGTTTTAGACTTCTCTTTTAGTTTATTTTTATCAATGAGCTGACTGAGATTTTCTCCCTCGTTGTCCAGTCCTCACTCAACCACTACTTGGTCCCCCATTCCAACCATAGCTAAGTTGGTCCTCAGAGCAAAAGGTAATTTAGCCACACAAATGACTTTGGTATTAAATGAGACTTGTTACGACGCCATTTAATATCAACTGCACTGCAGTGAAGGAGCAGTAGCAGCAGTACACGGCTCCAGGCCATGTCAGTGAAATGGTCTCTTAATAAATTTCCCACATCTTCAGATGAACCACCGGAACAAGTTGGTGGTATGTAGTGGTGGCATAACTTTTGATTTAGTACCTGTTTACCTGCAGTTCTGGCAAATGCTTTTAATTACACAAGTATTTTGGGGTAATAAAAATGGCCTGATAGGAAATAAAAGAGAATATACATCTACATATATAAAAAAGTAGTAAAATAACTGACCGACTTTCCGAGAACGCCTAGACTAAACGACTAAAGCTAGAGTCTTGATATTTTGCACGAGGGCTAGATTTGGTGCGTAGGCGTGTGATAGGACCGGGCTCTTGGAAATTCGTACGAATAGTACTAAAATTTGAATATTATGTATTAGACAAACGGAATGAGCCAGAATTCAGAATTTCGGAATTAAAGTCACTGATGGAGCGCAGGATAGACGTTTTTGGAAATTCGAACTTAAAGGTTAAAAAAACTTTCTAAATCTTACTGAACTTCTAAAATGGTACAATCTGGTATTATGAGAACGGATAGAGCTAAAAACTTGAAATTTAATATGAGGATTAAGGTTGGGAATTATGTTTGATATATGAAGGTGGTTTTGGAAATCTGTAATAAGTATGCGAACTTTACTACATGCTACTAATTTGAGAACAGTTTGGGATTTTGAAATTTTGTATTGGGAATAGTTAGGTTTAAGGTGAACGGAGGAATCTTCTATTTTGAAATGTTTTTATTGGAGTCCCTGTTGATGGTAAGTTTGTAATAAAAAGGTGGTTTTGGAAATGTGTACTACAGTGCTCGAAACGTAAGAAATAGTACCATATTTGTTACAATTTGGTATTGGGTGAACAGATAGTGCTTGAAATCTGAAATTTTGTATAAGGGTCGCAGTTCATGTACAGCCTGTACATACAGTTTTTTTTAGTGGTTCTGGAAATGTGTACCATAATTGTACGACATCTATTTATCATTCCAAAATATGATAAATAGATTACTGTAATTGGACGGTAATTTGGAAATGTGTTTTTTTTTTTTTTGTACGAAAAGTACTAAATCGTACTAAATTTGGTATTGGATGCAGGGATATGGCTGGATTCCTCAAATTTAATATTGTGGTCTCTGTTGGTATCTGGAATTGAGATATGTAGGTGGTTTAAGAAATGTGTTCTATAACTGTACGAAAAGTACTAAGATTTACTAAATTTGATATTGGGTGAAGAGATGAAGCT